CCAATTTCAATTTTTCATGATAACTCTTTGCCCTAAGAGTGCTTCAATATTGATAAAAATGCACATTATCAGAATTATTAATCCAAACTCCATTTGGATGTCATTCAAGATACAATAGTGTGCCACGTGTTCCTTTAAAGTCAAGTAAGACGTAAATTCTATTTTAAGGACCTTAACCTTGACAAAATAGCACAAGTTTTGAACCATATTTTTAAAAAGAGATATGATGGGTTCTTATTTTCCTATCACTGTCAAGTTATATTAGAGATTACAATGAATTGTATGCTTTTCTGGCCATTTCACTGCGCCATGTTTTCAAGTGGCGTTACCTACCACTTGGAAGGAAAAAAAAAAGATCCCTGTAGCACATCAGAGGTTTAAGCAAAACTACAACTCTTGCTCTTCTTCCTAGAAGTTAGAAGCAGGTAGTTTTTCTAAATTAATTTGTTATTTATTTAAACATATTTGAGAGGAAAATCGCTGGTAGATTTCAGATGTAGGGGCTTGTAATATAAGATAGTAAATATAATAGATGGTATAATTTCAGAAGTCAATGTAAGAAACGGGCTCTTTTTTGCACAGGTTTTACCACGACCACAAGGTGGGGCCCCCGTGAAGCCGCAGCCTGCAAACGCTCAGCTGCACCAGCCTGACAGGAGGAAGGGAGCGCAGTGGCGATGCTGGATGCTTATGAAGTAAAAGAGTACAGTAGAATGAAGGATTATGTTGTAACCCCAAGCCGCCTTCTGCCTCTGTTAGCTTTTCCCTTAAGGGTAGGGAGAGCTTTTGGAATTCTTGCTATTCCTCCTGCCATGTCACACTGTTCTCCCATAGAAACAATCCTATTCACTATTAAACACATCTGCCAAAAATAAAAGTTAAAAAAAAATAAACATCAGTCTCAAGGACTTTTCCCTTGACAAGTGGACAAGTCTCATAGTTTCCCTTTAGGTTTTAGTGCTGTTTCATGCCAGGCCTCTGAGCTTTTAACTAAAAAGATGAGCATGCATATAGTATGATGCTAAATCTGTTAAAGACGTTTGCAATATGGCTAACGATGCCCACATAGAAATCTTGCCCTGTTAGAGATTCTGATTTAGATTTTAAATCTGTAATGAATGAACAGTGGTAGATGCAGAAGTGACCTTGTAATTCTGGTAGGCTTCAGTTAGCGCACAGCAGACACACTGTATTACTTTTATCTTTATCTCCTTTCCTGGTTTCATCTGCCTCTTCACTTTTGTTCAGGCCAGGTACAGAAGCAGTAAAAATCCGCAGCCCCCCCTCCGAGTACCTGTTCTCAAAGCAGTTCTGGCACATGACACCTGGAATAGCAAACAGAGTTCTTGACAAGATTCAAGTAACTGTACGATTGAATCTGAAGAAAATAAGTAAGTACTGAGGCTAAATTCTCAATTCTTAAGTACACCCATAGCAACAGCTGATCCCCAGCATGGTTGTGTCAATCCAAGCCTCAATGGATTCTGATTAATTCCACGGTAGCTTATAGACAAGCAATGTTAATCTCTCATGCCTGCCAAAAAAAAAAGTTTCAACTGCCTGTTAGTAGTAGGGCAACCTTCAGCACACATTAGAGTTGAGCCTAGTCCTAGTTCATGCAGAAAAATTACCTTTGTAGATTAAGAACTATATTGGTGCTTCAATTCAATAGCTAATAATTAAATATACAGGCAAATGAGACTCTTTCGTGGGGTGGGTGGGGAAACACAAGAGGGAAGGCAAAGAGGACAAAACAGATAGGGTAAGTATACCCAATAACTTATAAAAAGACACTTGACATTTATGGCAAAACATTCTTGCAGACCACAATACGTAATCCAACAACTCAGTCTGTTTGCTTTCTGTTCTCACTCGGCTCCACTAATTCCTATTTTAGAAACTCCCTCCCAATAGGGGAAGACACAATAATCACAGTTCAACTATCCAGCCATACTTCAAGCCCTATACTGCTCAGTAAAATTTGAGTTGTTTGGAAGTTCAAAACTACATTTAACTTTTGTTATAGCATATTATTCATGATATTTAAATTTTTACTTTTTTTTTTTTTTTTTTTCACTAAATCACTTCCTGGCAGCTCAGAGCTGGGGGACTGTTCTGATCAAAAGGGCTTTTCTGGTGGTGTGATTTTGTCAGGTTCAGCCATTGTCTTTAACTTGGGTATTTTCAGAGAATAAACTGGAGGAAAGATTGCACAAGAAGTTAAGATAAACAGCACAGGCAATTCAACTTTGCAAGGAACAAAGGGTCAGGAAAGGAGACAGTATGGTGAGGTTCTCCCGCCTCCCTCCTTCAAAAGGCACAGGAAGTTTAGCAACATAGAAAGAATTTTCCCTAGTGTTTTCAACAGATAGCAGACTGAGAACTTCTTCCAGTATCAGACATGAGAATCAGTAACTCCATGTCTGAAAAACTGACCAAGTCCCAGGAATGCATACTTGTCCTCATTGTTCCACAGGACAGGTAAAAGAGATTTTTAAGAGCTAAGGACAGATAAGTCCTCTCAGAAACAAGAGAGCAATGGATTATTGTACTGCTATATCAATAAGTAACTTTATTGCAGAAATAACCTCACGTTATCTCTATGTATTTATAATTCTGAGCATGAAGCAAATACAGCAGGCGCTTATTGCTCCTATGAATGGCATAAACCAATTTATCCATTCTTTATATGTACATTTATTATTTATGGCTTATGTCACTTTTATAGTTAATGGAGCAGGATATTTGGGGTGTTTTGTTTGTTTAAATTTGATGGCAGAATTTGGGTCATGTCAGGAAACAGCACACAGCTAAAAGGTATAACCCCAAAGCAAAAAAAAAAACCAACCCAAATTTCCTTATTTAATCTGTGGTTATAACATAGGAGAACATAGAGGAAAGACTCTGCAGCTCAAAGACAGAGCTAGGCCAACAGGTTCATTACTGCTTAATGAGGCTACTTCTGTAAGAACTTGTTCACAGTTAGTATTCATGGAAAACACTCCTACTTCCATGGGAAAACAAAATTTTTCAAAGCAGCAACAGAGGATCACAACCATCAGCCAAATTTTGACAACAGATTCCTTAAAACTACAAAAAAAGAAAAAAAAAAAAGGAGGTGAGAACAGAAGTGCAGCTGTGGTATTAGCTGTTATAATCCCTTTCATTGCTCTGGAGAAGAGATTGACAGGAATTGTTTTAGGCATCTCTAGGCTTCTTCCTGTCAGTGTTTTTCACTGCTGACCTCAGTTCTGAAATTCTCACACCCTTTCCCAAACGAAGCCTTCATTTTTTTGATCTATGTCTGGATTCCTCTTTTTTTTTTTTTCCCCAGGATGTGGAGAGGGTCAAGGTGACAGGAAGTGAATAGCTATTATCAAATATTCATCATCTACAATTATATTGGCAAGTGTAGTCATTTTCTGGTTTATTGATAAAATTAATTATGTAAATAGAGCCTGGAAAAGGGCCTTTATTTCATTAGAAATTAAAATTAATGAGGTAGATCAACGGTCAGCGCAAGCCAATGGCTCACTGAGGCAGGAACAACAGAAGCAATGGCCTTGACCTAGCTAGTTTTAGGCAAACTCCCCACAGGATGTCCATAAACCAAGGAACAATGCATCAAATCTCCCTATTGTTTTTTGTTATGGACAGGTGCAGCTCACTTGGAAGTTGATTCAAGGACTCTAACTATAGCAGATATATTTAATAAATAGGATAACTTTTATTTGGCCACAAAAAAAAAACAAACACCAACCAAACAGGAACAAAAATTAACCTGTTACAAATACTTTAAACACAGTAACTGTATGGCAAGTGACAGGGCAGTAACGTAGTTATAAATACAATTTATTTGGACCGCAGTATATATTGGTGCTTAGAAGGTTAGACTGAGTACCAGTATCAAAAGTATAGAATCTTAGCGAAAATATATCAGGGGTTTTCAAGAGGATTACCTGCACAGATTTACCAAACTGAAACAGCTCAAGATTAAGGGCAAACACCTGTGGTTTCCACAACCACCAGGATTTTATCAATAAGAAAGAAGGAAGTTATATTCAAATTACCAGCTGATACACTACTGGGAAACATTAAGGTACAAAAGGATATTGAATGAATAATTCATTTCCTTCTGTATTTGTTAATAAATTTAGTATAGATAAATATTACAAAATGAGGGACCAAACATCCAAAAGGAAATATTCTCAGACGTCAAAGTGGCCTTTAAAGAAGTCTCTGTTTTGCTGGACACCACTTTAAAAACTGCACAAGACTCATCAGGAATGTGATTCATGGATCTGCTATGGTTCAACAAACTTCCAAGAGGAACTGAGCTCATGCCTTTCCTCCACTGTTTTCAAGGGCAGCCCAGACGCAGCTTTACCAAGGCAGCAAATTCCAGCACAGGCTTCCTCCTCAGGCCTCCTGCCTTGGGCTTCCTACTCCACCTCTGCCCACGCTCCAAAAGCGAGGCCTGGACACTCAGACAGCTTTTAACTCGCGGGGATGTAGAGCTGATAATCCTGAATTTTAACTATAGAGCCTTTCCGGCTCTTTCAGTCAAACTCCAAGTTCACAATGGTCCCTTCTGATTTC